ATAGATTATGCGCCCAAACCATGAAGGTCCCGGGAAGCATCACGAGTCACATACCCAAAGCTATGCGTTTACCGGGCACCAACATGAACATACCGGGCACAAACATGAATATACCGGGCGCTAATCCCAGATGTGGGTTTCTAACATCCAAATAACGGAAAAATTACCTACAACGAAGAAAAATAGGAGGAATAAACGCTTACTTGGAAGTTAAGAAGAATGTACGGGAACAGTGAAGAAAATCGACGGAGGAAGGTACGGTAACCTTGCGAAGTTGTAGAAAAACAGCGGCAGAAAAGGCATAGGAAGAAGGAGAAGCGCGGAGAGGAAAAACAAATTATGGGACCCAAGGATCCAATTTATAGGGATGACGTGGAATACGAAACGTCGCCCCGGGGAAACACGAACTTCCCCTCCTCGACGTCTACTCCCCTAGGCAATGATGGCCCTACTTTCACTAGGGTGGCGTCACGGTTCCCAAGGATTGCCTCGTATACCCAATGAACACAGCCCGCGAGGAATCCACCGAGCACACATCGACAAGGATTACGCCACGAACGCAACTCATGAGAAACTTCTCGAGCAATCACGGGGAAGCAGATATCCTGGGCCGGGCATCAGACCCCGTGGCAAAGGCGAGCTGAGGTCAAGTCATAACTCCTGCTCCAGGAGCCACGACTTGGGGGGCCCCTGTTCTGGATTGGGCCCTCCCTGGCCCAAAAGCAAGAATGAAGGCCCAATCCAAGAAGCTCCTCGAGGAGAGCGCGCCCGCGGATTCCCGCCAGCACGCCCGACCACAGACTGCAACCGTGCCCGCCGTTGCCCGCGACACATGGTGTCCCCGACCACAGGAACTCCAGCTCAAGCCCGGCTCGAGCACCCTCCTCGTAGGGAAGTTTCTGATCGTTACCAAATCACCTGAACTCCGGAAAGACCGCGTCTTCGTCCCTCCTCATTTCTCGCAGAGCATCACCAGGAAGGAGACCACGTGCGGGCCCCCACTACACACGTAGAACCTGTCAGTTCCTTTATTGGGCCAGTTCTGGTCGGCCCAATGAGGGGACCTTGGCCCTGCGCTGGGGGCTATAAATACCCTTTGTTCCTAGAGGGTCGGGTATTCATCTCTTACGCATACATACGCTTTTTGCCTGCTCATTCCGTCACTCATTTTAGCATCGGAGTGTCTTGCAGGTACCCTCTCCCCCCATCTCACTCAAACTTCCGCTCGGAGCCAGCCGTGACGGTCCAAGTCTGATCAGGTAAGATCACCTATCAACAATCATCCAAATCGAATCATGTCCTCTTAAAGTATTAGGTAACCCCGTCACAAAGTCCATTGAAATGCTATCTCATTTCCATTCTGGAACTTCTAACGGTTTCATCAACCCTGCTGGCTTCTGATGTTCAACTTTTGACTTCTGACAAGTCAAACATGCATGCACAAACCGAGCCACATCACTCTTTATTCCAGGCCACCAAAACAAACCTTTCAAATCTTGATACATCTTTGTATCTCCTGGATGAATACTCAACTTACTTCTATGACTCTCTTCAAGTATCACTTTCTTCATCTCAGCATCATCAGGAATACAAATCCGGTTACGAAATCTCAGCACACCTTGCGCATCTAGCTTAAAATCATTATCCTTAGACTGATCGATTCCAACCATCAAATCTACCAGTTTCACATCCAACTCCTGAGCTTCTCTGATACCATCTAGAAATTCATTATTAATCATCAACATACCCAATATAACACTCTACAGAGTAACCTCGCAAACTAAGCTCGTATCTCTGAACTACTCAATCAATTCCAACTCTTTAACCATCATTGCCGACATATGTAAAGTCTTTCGACTCAACGCATCAGCTACCACATTCACTTTTCCTGGATGATAATTCAAACCAAAATCATAATCCTTTAATAATTCCAACCATCTCTGTTGCCTCATATTCATCTCCTTCTGATCAAATAAATACTTTAAGCTCTTATGGTCACTAAACACTTCAAATCTAGAACCATAAAGATAATGCCTCCAAATCTTCAACACAAAAACAACTACAGCAACCCTAGGCTCCTGGAGGTCCTTAAGTTTCAAGCTGAAGGTGTTGGTTTCGATTTGGTCAAATTATCAACTAAAGAGTGGTCTAGATGAGGAGTGCTTGAAGTGTTTCAAGGGAAGCTATTGTTTTGATCATTTCAGGATCTGTTGGGGTCGGAGGGAAGTGGATATTCATTTTAGGCTTCCTGTTGGAAGCATTAGTATTGCATCACGGTTTCAGGCTCATCGAATTGATGTTGAATTTAGTGTTGTAAATATTTATCTTGAGGTTCTGTAGCTTCGATTTGTTGCTGTCTGCGCAAATTGATTTTGAATTTGGAGTTATAAATTCATCTTGAGGTTCTGCAACTTTGGTGTTGCTAATATTCTTCTTGAAGTTGTTGTTTAGATGGTTTTTTTTCCTTTAGTTTTATGCTCTAATGTTGTCTGCACATGTTCAGTGTTTTTGTTGTAGTGTTGGCGCAGGAAGGCAACCGCTTTGCTAGAAGAATATATTTTTTGTTAGAGTTGTTGGGTGCAAGAAATTGTTATAGTTGTTATGTTGCTTAAGGTGTTGTTTAGTTTTGGGGGTTTGTTGCCTCTGTTAGGTTGATTTGTAGTCTAGTATTGGGTGTGAAATTTTTGCAGAATGAGGTTTGAGTTGTATTCTTGATGAATGTTGTTTTCAAAGGCCAATTACGCAAGTATGCATTGGTGTTTTTCAATGATATTCTTGTGTATAGTTTAAGGTTGTCATAATCGAGTTTTTATCTTGACTCGTTTTGTCTAAATAAAATTGAAATGTAAAATCGTAGAATTTATCTTATATTTAAATAATATCAAATTTATACACATGATATATATATATATATATATATATATATATATATATATATATATATATATATATATATATATATATATATATATATATATATATATATATATAATTTTAACTTAATTATAACGAAAAAATCTACTAAATCACCATAATAAAATGTAATATTCATAAACTTCTATGAAAATACATAAATTAATCTCCAAATCATAAAAAGTAACATCTAAAAGATTATAAAAAAAAAAAAAAAACAAGAGTTTCATAAATTTTCCAAATTAAAAAAAACAAGTGTTTTCATCTTCATCTTCAATACGACACCATCTTTATTAGTGTCTTCATTTTCAACTTATCAAATTCATTTCCGATAATAAAGGCTCTTCAAATTCATGGATCAAAAAATAAAATAAGTTTTTTAAAATTTGACAAAAAAAGGTAAAACCGGGTCAAAGAGTATCTAACGATTCTACACAATTTTATAAGATTTCACCGATTTTAAAGTGATTTAAATCGTTTAAAATCTTCCCAGGATACGATTTTATATAAAAAAAAAATTTAACTGCGATTTAACACGAAATGATAATCTAGAAACGTGAAATCTATAGAGTTTAGATTTTATATCGAGATTTTAACAACTTTGGTATAGCCCTTCATGGTCTTGGTGTGTTACACTTATTTGCAACATCATGAGTTGTTTGCTAAGTTTGGCCTCACTTCTGTGGATTACTTTGGTCATACTATATCAACAAGGGGTGGAGATGGATAAATCCAAAATTCAAGTTGTCATGGATTGGCCGGTGCCTCGTACTAAAACAGCTTCGTGGTTTCTTAGGCTTATTGGGTTACTATCGATGTCGTAATTTTGCTATGATTGGTTGACTGCTTTATTAAAGAAAGATGCTTTTATATGGTCACATGCAGCACCAGATTTTCATTTATTGCACTCAAAAGTGCAATTACATCTGCACTTGTCCTAGTTCTTCCTGATTTCCAATTGCCCTTCACATTAGAGACTGATGCTTCGGGATCAGACATTGGTGCAGTCCTTAGTCAGGAACGCCATCCTATTGCATATTTTTCAAAGAAACTGAACCCAAGAATGTAAAAACAATCAACCTATGTCCAAGAACAGAGGCTTTGGCCAAATTTCGTCACTACCAGATTGGCCACAAGTTTGTCATCAAAACAGAACAACGCAGTCTTAAATCAATTACTGAACAATTTATTCCGCTTTCATCATTGAGAACAAATCAGGAGTGGATAATATTGCAGCTGATAACCACCTCTTGCATTCTTTCTATTTGGCTCTGTCAGTACACACGCTGCAACTTGTCTCTATCATTCATCCCGTTGTTACTGGCGAAAATCGGGAATGTTATTTATTAGGCACTTATCTGTCACCTTACTATCAGGTCAAGCACGATATGTTATTTTGGAAGAATCGGTTCCTCAAAATCCAGATTTGATCAAACTCGTTAGCACTGAATTTCCCTCATCACCAACTGGGGGACATGCTAGAGTTACACGCACTAAAGCACGCATAGCGACTCAATTTTTCTGGACCACTATGACCAAAGATATCAAGGAGTTTGTGTCTCAATGCTTGATTTGCCAACAAGCAAAACACGCAACAACATTACCAGCTGGGTTACTTCAACCTCTGCCCATTCCACAATAAGTTTGGGAAGATTTGTCGATGGATTTTATTACAGAACTGCCACCGTCTAATTCTTATACTATGATTCTTGTGGTTTCGGATCGCTTAAGGCTGACTATAACAGTTACAAAGTCGCAGAGGTTTTCATGCACACAGTGGTAAAACTTCAAGGGTTTCCTAAGACGAGTGTGTCTGATCGGGATCTTGTGTTTACTAGGCAACATTTATTCTAACTCAGTGGTACAACACTGGCTATGAGCACGACATACCACCCTCAAACGGATGGTCAATCTGAAGCTGTTAACAAATGTTTAGAGCTGTATCCCGCGCGACCAATACTTCCATATCCATCTGCTAACTCTCTCTCTCTACTTATCCCCACTATGCAAACTTGGGATATTTTCCTGGTTACAGATCTTATGGGACGATGAACTATATGTGGCCTAATAACCCTCATTTCTACAGCATGGCTCATAAGAGTAACATGGCTGTGCCATCTTATGGCACTGTTAGTAGTTCAAATTTTCAGAACCGTTTTGCTACTTCTTTTTCTAACCCTCAAAATGCTGCAAGTGGGCCTGCTACTGGTAGAGCGGCACCGCTTTCTGGTTTTCCAATATCACCATCACTGTCACCTTTTGATACTGTACCCTATGGTCATGATTTTCTTCATATTCGTGGGTATACTACTTCTGCTGCTGCAGCTGCTACTACTGCTCAACTCTCCTTTGAGCGAGTCTACTACTGCTCAACGCTTTCCTTTGAGAGATGCTAATGCTACTACTGCTCAACGCTTTCCTTTGAGAGATGCTAATGCTACTACTGCTCAACTCTCTCCTTCGAGAGATGCTAATGCTACTCCTGCTCAACTCCTTCCTTTCAGAGATGCTAATGCTACTACTGCTCAACTCTTTCCTTTGGGAGATGCTAATGCTACTACTGTTCAACTCTTTCCTTTCAGAGATCCTACCCCAGCTGAGGAAGAAGATCAAGGATGTTGTTTCTAAGAACGAATGATATTTAGGCTAGCTATAGTAGTATTGTAGTGAAATATAAGCAGTACATCATTCTTGTCATCCCATTTGCATTCTTGTGTTATTTTCGTTACCTGAGTAAACTATTATTTTTGCATACTGGTACATCTTTGAAAACAAAACAAGTATTTCAAATTCACCAATCAAACTAAACAAATCAATTGGTTTGGTTTAGTTTAGTTTAATGTAAAAATCATGTAGAATCAATTTTAAAGAAATAAACTACAAATTATAATTTCAAATAGAATTAATTTTAAATATCTTTTATCTTTTATCTACAATTGAATGAAAGTGTTTTAAAAATGAAAGCAAACATACACTAAATTGTTTCAAAACTTATTTTTTACTTAAAAGTAATACAAAGGTACCGTTATACCCCTGCTCTAAAGTCACTAACCTATCTAACTCTCTAATAATCTAATTTCTAATTGTTCAAATAACCACAATATTTTCATGGTTTTCACTCTGTTTAACAATTACTTTAAACACAAAATTTATACTAATTACTACACAAATCAACAAGGACATATATTTGCATAAATTTAACAGGTTAGAGTATATATGGGATACTTTAACAACGGATAAGGGTATGAATATAGGAAAATATACAAAATAGAGTAATAAAGAAATCATGCTAAATGAATGAAAAACTTGAAAAAGATCTCTTGGCATGTCCACTACTTTATGGCAACACACGTGCCAAATCCTCAAATTTCTCACTCTTAGATTATCTCGTACATAATAAAATCTACCGACGCGAATCACGACACGTGACCTTCACTTTTCAACACGTGTCCCTTGTTTCTCGGAGCTTTCTCGAGGCTTCACGCGTAACACCAATCTCACCGTTCATTCCTCAACCAATCAAACCATCACAACCGTTCCCTTACTCAACCGACCACAAATACGCTACGCAACACAGGGACCAGTGTCGTAAAATGATTGGCCAATCACAAATTTTAATTTTTTTCCCTTATCCTCAATTCTCTTTATAAATCCGCATTTCCTCCACTTCTCATTTCCCTCACTATTATTATTATTATCACATAAAAGAGAATCAGAAAATTTTCAAATTCAGTGACTATTAGCGGAATCACTTTTTACGAATCACTTATTGATTTATATTTATATTTATATTTTCTTGCGCTTCCTCGTTTTTTTTTGGAAGAATGGCCTTGAGTATGACTCATCAGTTCGGGAGCCTCGTTGGAACTCCAGTAGCGATTGAGTCGACTGCCGGAGAGGCACCGGCGACGATGAACGCGGCGGCGGTGTGGAAAACACCAGCTACGAATCTACGTTGTAAAGCGAGTAAGTCAGATGTTATCACAGACGGATTATCACCGCCTATGAGCCCGTGCAGGTCGCCAGTGCTTGGCGGAATCCGACCAGATCTGAACGTGGCGTGTCAAGCTTTTACGATGGAAGCGGAGAGTGCGGTGGAGAAGGAGCATGTATCGGGGGCGAGATGGAAGAAAGGGAAGGGAAGTGGAGTACCGGTTTATGTGATGATGGCGTTGGATAGTGTGAGTATGGGGAACGGTGTGAATAGGAAGAAGGCGGTGAATGCGGCGATGGCGGCGTTGAAGAGTGCTGGTGTAGAAGGGGTTATGATGGATGTGTGGTGGGGATTGGTGGAGAGAGAAGGTCCGGGGGAATATAATTGGGGTGGTTATAATGAGCTTATGGACATGGCCAAGAAGCACGGACTTAAGGTTCAGGCAGTTATGTCGTTTCATCAATGCGGTGGTAACGTCGGTGATTCTGTCACGTGAGTTTCTTTCTTCCTCTTTTTTATTTCATTTTTTAGTATTAATTTCTACTACTTGATATATATTTAAATTTTTTTAATTTTATTTTAATCGATAATAGTCAGCCCTATAGGGAAAAAGAGGAGGAGAAAGAGAGATTAGCGACCAACTAAATACTATCAAGTATCTATATATTTATTTACCAATATAATTTATCAAGTATATAATTAAGACTAATATTTTTCTAGTTATTTTATGCAAATGTCACTCATTATTGTTACCATGATTCTATTTTATGTACTTTAGAATAAATATAACACACAGAAGATGATTTTGTTGGATGTCTATATGTTGTGATAATGATAATATAGATATGTTTTGTAGTATGATTATATAAGTTGAATTTTCTTATATTATTATTTATCTTTAAATCCTTTTAAAAACCAAGCTTTAAGAAATATATCAATATCAATATTGTAAGCTGTTATGTATAAAATTTGTTTCCAATAGTAATTAATGTATATCTGTTTGATTTACTGATAATATATATTCGGAATATATCCCGTTGATTTTCTGGTGGGTAACCATGCTTATCAGTGTTTGTACCTATTTAAAATTTAATATTTTCTGGTGGGTAACCATACTAATTAGGAATATGAAAGAGAGAAAATTTTGTAAATTTTTTAATTTTTAAATCAGAATAAATCATATTTTAACTTTACAAGGGCATATAAATTAAATCCTAAAAAAATTGTGCCATTATTGAGTCCAATTTTTTTAAGAATATAAGAACATGACTAAGTCAAACCTGCTTAAAATATGATTAGGATTTTAAACTTAACAACATAAATTCAAATTTGTAATCAAGCAAGCATTAGTAATTAAGTATATTTTTGAATTCATCTTAGAAAATAAAAAATTACATTCCAATACAAAATATGTGAATAATTAATCAACTATTTGGAGCTTTTGAGCTGATATGATTTTTCACATAATTTGAAGAAAATTTACCAATTTGACTCCTTTTTGTTTTTTGAAGTTCATGAGAGATCTCAAACAATATCATAATAGTTTACATTGGTAGCTAGAAAAACTTCTTTCAAATTAATTAAGTTTTTCTAAAGAATGTAAACGGCTGTTAAGGATTTCTTGATTTTAATAATTTTTTAAATATAGTTATTTTTTTATAATAATTTGTTGATTTTAGAATTTTAGAATTGATAATGTGAACATGATGTGATGCGAGTTTTAGGCCAAAAATATGCTTTAAAGTGTGGTTTTGTTATGGGAAGAAGTAGAGATCATGTGTTTGGGGGTTGGTCTTTGTATTTTTTTTATTCACATTGCTTCTAAATGTAGCTTTTTCTACTTAGCATGGAAAGTGGAGTTAGAAATTGGAATTGGATCTTGAGAGTTGTATATTGAAAATATGTATGTTGCTATTAATACAATTAATTGCCTATTGTAATCTTAAACTGTTTGTACATTATATTATGCATACATCAAAATTCAAAACCAGTTCTATAATAGTTCACTAAATATGAAAAGAGGCGTGTTAAACTATCAAAAGAAAAATAGAAGTAGTGTGTTAAACCATGCAAAAGGTCTTATTTTTATTTGTGATCTCTAATAAAGTGTTTATTTGGTTTCGTGATGGAAAAGTATGCCACATCTACGTAAGAGTAGACTAAAAGCAATTCACATGAATCACATCCACATCGCCACAAAAATGGACTAGCTAGTTGAGATTAGTTGACCCAATATCTCAATTTTTTTTTTGTGATATGTGCAGCTATACTTTATGACTTTTATGTTTGAGTCAGAATAAATTTATCCAAAATAATTTTCTAAGCTAAAAACAAAGTATTAAAAAAAAAACTGAAGGACAAATTTAATTTCAGAAAAAGAAAATAAAAAAATAAAAAGTAAGAATTAAATATAAAAAGCGCCTCATATCCGAAAGAATTTCAAATTAATTTATGTTTAGACACACATTATGTATTGCTTATTGCCTTATATGTTGATGTTATGTGTCACAGTATTCCCTTGCCTAAATGGGCTGTGGAGGAGATTGATAAAGATCCTGATCTTGCATATACTGATCAATGGGGAAGAAGAAACTATGAATATATATCACTAGGATGTGATACTTTGCCGGTACTCAAGGGCAGAACCCCAGTTCAATGTTATGCTGATTTCATGCGGGCTTTCAGAGACAATTTCAAGCACCTTCTTGGGGATACCATTGTGGTAAATTTCTTCCCACATTCTTTACAATTCTACCTTCTTTTTTTTTAGTTATGTGTGTTGTTTTTGTTGTATGTTTTCAATTTTTATTTCAAGTTATAAAAATGTCTATTTATTTTAACAAAACAGGATGTGTACTATCAAAGTGTAAACTAGTATTACACCCAATGCTACAACCAATGAGATCGAACTCCTTTATTTGTCCACTGTAACTTGTTTTTCAAAACCATTAAACAATGTTTCACTATTTATTATTATGCAGATTTAGAAATTGAAAACAGAAAAGGAATTTTTGTAATTGCATAAAAAATCAATGTGACCGACTCATTGTGGCTTAGACCATGTTTGGACTGAAAATGAGTTTGACAAAAGCAAACATTTTGGCAATATGATTTTGTCAAATTCAATGTGATTTGTGTTCTTTATATCATGTTATCTTTTGTTATACAATGTATAGTTTCTTACCTGAACTTCTGTCATTGGTACAATTCAGGAAATCCAAGTTGGAATGGGACCAGCTGGTGAGTTACGATACCCATCATACCCAGAGCAAAACGGGACATGGAAATTCCCAGGAATTGGTGCTTTTCAATGCTATGACAAGGTATATTTAATTATCCATATGTTTTTCCCTCACCCTATTGAACTCTTTTCCTTTTTATAGTTGTTTTCGTGTGTTACTTTGCTTTGTGTTTCTCATATTCTTAGTTTCACTTCAATGCAGTATATGTTGAGCAGCTTAAAAGCTGCAGCTGATGCTGCTAGTAAATCAAACTGGGGAAGCACAGGCCCAACTGATGCAGGCGAGTACAACAACTGGCCAGAAGACACTAACTTCTTCCGCAAAGAAGGTGGAGGCTGGGATAGTGAATATGGCGAATTTTTTCTCACATGGTACTCTCAGATGTTGTTGGACCATGGTGACAGAATTCTCACATCAACAAAATCAGTCTTCGACAATACTGGAGTTAAGAT